CCTACTCCCAGGCACCCCCCCCCAGCCCGCAGCCCCCTCCGAGGGGCTGGGGGCTCCTCAGACCCGCAGAGCTGAGCCCACTCCTGACAGGAGCCGGGAAGGACAGGGGAGCCTCCCAGGGGCTCCCTCCTCCTCAGCAAGGCCGGCAGGCGCCTGGGAGGCCTGACCCGGATCTCAGCGTCCCGTCCGAAGGAGGCGCAGGGGATATCCTTCTACCCCGGGGACGCCTCATTCACTTACTCATCCATTCATTCACTCATTAACTCAACAAAAACCCAGTTCTTACACAGACAAAGCATTCTAAATGTGTGTGTGTGTGGGGGGGGGGGGTATGTGCATGAAATTAATACTGTAAAGCATGTTACCATTTACAAGGTGCTTTAATAAAAACGAGAGCTGGCATTTACTGAAGGCTCACTGTAGTGCTGGCCCTGTGCGAAACGCATTACATGTCTTATTCCATTTAGCACTAACAACAGCTCTGTGAGGTGTAGCATAATCATCCCCATTTTATAGATGGGGAAATCAAGACTGTAACTTGCTCAAGGCGTTCAGTGTTCTTTAAAGCTGGTAAGTGGGGTTGGCCAGGAATCAGAGCCCAAAGCGTGTGCAGGTGACCAAACTACCATACAACTGGGGGGCTCGAGAAGGGCCGAGTGTCAGGATTGAAGACTCTGCCTGCAATAAAGGGACAGTAAAGCTCTTGAGGCTGTTCCCAAACTTGGATGGGGTCCTGGCCAGCATACTCGAGTCTCTGCCCCTCACCCCCACCCCCGGGGCCTGTCCTTTGGCCTCTCTCTCTGCCATGGCCAGAATGCCCCAGACCATCTGCCACAGGTGGGATTCTACCTTCCCAGACCCAAGATCCATGAGCGGGAGGAAACTCACCATCAGCTTCTAGTTCTGGGAGACCACAGAGGCAGATTGTGGGGCTGTGGAAGGAGCACCGGGCTGGGAGTCAAGTCCCAGGCTTCTGCTCTCCACTTGTGTGTTCCTAGGCAAGTCCGTTCCCCGCCATGCGCCTCTGTGAAAGGAGGAGTTGGGACTGTTCTTTCTGAGACTCCTTTCGGTTCCCATGGAGTGCCTCTGAGAGCCTCAAGACAGTACCAGCCCCCTTTCTCCAAGGCCTCTATTTACGTGCCTCTATTTAGAACCAAATTCATCCTACCATGCACCAGATCAGTGTCCTCCCAGCCCAAGAAATCCTCCAGAGGCTCCTAGAGGGAGAAAACTAAGTATTTGCACCACCACAGCGCTTGGCACATGGTTGACATCAAAGTGTGTGTGTGCTTAATAGATAATTGAAGCTGTGTGTGCATATGCAATCTGGAGGGTGGGGAGAGGGACAGGAATTGTGGGTCTGAAACACAAATGCTTGAATCAGGGTGTGGGCAAGGGTCTCTCTACACCTAGCTATGATTACCTGCTCACACACAGGTATCTAGCTGAGTAGGGGTGTGTATCAATTTTCTGCACCACAGAGTAAGGAACAGGTGTGTGTGTGTGTCTAAAGTTACCTCCCTCAACCCCTGCCATTTGCATCTGTGTCTGGTCCAGTGAGAGCCAGCGAGAGGGTTGGTTGAAAGGTGAGCTGTAAGATAAAACAGCAATTTCCTACCTTTTTTATCAAGACACTGTCTGACCCACCTTCCCTTGGTCACTCTTAGGACTGCTGGACTTGGCTTTAGTATTTTCAGGGTGTGTGTGTGTTGTTTTATGTAGGGGGAGGAGAATGCTTGAGTCTTCTAGAACTTTAGGTAATACCCAGCCCAGCCCTCTCCCCTCCCAAATAAGCCAGTCCGAAGGCCAGGAGAGAAAGACGCTGGTGGGATGGTCACTTGTCTAGCAGGGGGTGGGGATGTTGGCGGGTGAGGAGTGAGAGGTTTCTGGGTTAGGAATCCAGACTGAGATCCTTGCCCCCACCCCCAGATGGTGGATGCAGAGGCTCATCCCAGGGATTCCTGTCTACTCCACCCCAACATAATATGCCCCCAAACACACAAGGAAGCCTCTTCTATCGGCTGACTCCACAGATATATACACATGTCCCCACAGACACGCACACGCCCATGCAGAGGCACAGACATCCGGGCAAGTCTTTCCTTTTCTCTGTCTTTCCCTTGGTTTGAATTTCGTTCAGCCACATATGTTGTGTGTGCGTGAGGGTGGGTGGGGGAGGGGCAGACAGGGAAGAGGGATGGCATGGTGCCAACATCTACCTATGGGGCTTGGGCCAGGGACACCCCCCACACCCACCCTGGGAGGGGGCCTCAGCTGTCCTTTTGTGGCCAGAGGGATTCTCCTGAGGGGGGGCGGGGACGACAAGCATAGAGGTCCCTTTTCCAGACTTGAGGGTCTGGTCCCTGACCCACCTTTGGGGGCCTGCAAGGGAAAAAATGGACAGAGCAGGACCCAGGAGGGAGCACAGAATTTGGGGCCACCACAATCCCGCAATTTCCAGTCTTGCCACCCCATTGTTCCCATGTGGGGGGGCCCTATATCCAAGGGGGGGCAACTCCTCCCACCTCCCTCTCAATCCCTGCTTTCCCTGCTTTGGGCGGGGAGGGGAGGGCGGCACAGATATTTATTTATTTCCTTTATTTATTTAATTTTTTTTTTTTTTTTTTTTTGGAGTAGAGAGTGACAGATGGCGGCGGGTCCCGGGGGAGCCGGCTCTCCCCCAATGCAGACGCATGCCAATCACCGTCTCTCATGTGATAGCTGCTGCCCGTGACGTGCCAAGCCCATATGGCCTGGCATAGAGGCTGGTACCCCGCCTGGTAGAGATGCCACACTCGCTCCGCGGTTCGCATGGCGCTCTGAAGACGCCGGTGCCCGCCGCCTTGAGGAGCCGCTGCCCCCGCTCCCTGAAGATGGGGGAACAATGAAATAAGCGAGAAGATCCCTCTTCTCCCCCCTCTCTCTCTCGCCCCCTCCCCCTCCCCTCCCCTCTCCCCTTGACTCCTCTCCGAGGTAAGTTGTCCGAAAGGCAGCTAGATCTGACCCGCCGGCTGGAGGGGGGCGGCTGCTCCAGCCGGCAGAAGGGCCCCGAATGCCCCCTCCCTGGGAGATGCCCCCTCGCGGGGTGGGCGTCGGAGGCGCCCGGGGGTCTCTGTCCCCCAGGGGCTGCGGCTCCGCGGGCTGCGGAGGGAGCCGACTCCGCCGGCGCTGGGCTGGGGGCGGGGAGCGGGACCCTGGAGGGGACCTGAAGAGGCTGAGATGGGACCACCCCGCGGTTGTCTCGGAGGAGCCTGCGACCTTTCCCCGCAGCCAAAAAAGAGAGAGAGAGGGGAGCAAACAAATTCGGATTTTTCCCCCATCGATCCCGAAATACAACGAGATCTGAAAAGCTATGTGGGAGGGA